CCAGGCTAAAAAAAAAAAAAAATATGATGGGGACCCTTGGGAATTAACTCAGCTGTGTTTGGACGTCTTCAGAGATAGCCAACTTTGAGGAGGGCAGGGCTGCCTCAGCCTCCCTCCAGCACGTCCGTACCGAGCAGAAATGCCTCCTTGGCCTTTACAAGCCGTGGCTTTGAGGAAGAAAGTCTCCTACTCACTCGTAGATGGGTGGAGAAAGACAAGTCAAGAAGAAATATGCACATGCCAATAGAATATCGTAATGACTGTTGACTTCTGTGAGCTCTTTGTCAGAACAAACTTTGACTTATTTATTTTATTTACATTTTTGTCATACGTGTTAATATTTTATCTGATACATACGAAGCTCCCAATGAACACTTGTCGAAGGAAAGAAGAAAAGAAGGAAGGAAAGAATGCCTGAATGAATGAATGAATGAGGGAATGAATGAATGAACAAATGAATGAATGAAAGAGACTGGATGGAATCGGCTGAGGAAGTAATCGTAAAGTAACATGATGATAATGATCAATTATAGAGCAGTAACACAAGTGCTTAAATCCCAGTTCGAACTTACATCCTATGTGACGTAAGTTTTTCCAGGTGTAAAATAAGTTAGTGCTTGCAAAGTACAGCACAGTGCCTGGCGCACAGTGCAACCTGTCTGTAGATATTTCTACTTTCTTTTGTCCGGTAGTACGCTCAGCGCTTAGTACACATTGTGTCATTTAATCCTTAAAACATCCTGTGTGAGTTAGACACTAATACTCACACTTGCCAGAGGTGTTGACAAGATCAGGCAGGTAAATAAATTCAGCCCCGATTAACTATCATCGGCTCACCTAGGATTCAAACCTTAAAATCGTTTAGCTTCGAAAGCCTGCAAGTGTCCCACGTGATATTTGCTTTGAAGTGTCAACTGACTTAGTTTTCATTTTCTTCATGTGCACGTGATCTAGCAAAAACGGTGTTTGTTATTTGAACCAGACCGTGATGAGAGTTCCAAACCTTTCCGGTTGAGGGTATTGCCCTGAATCACAGACACCCTGGCATAACAGGAAGCCGTCAGGCCCCCAGTGGCTGTCTGCTTGCAGTCTGCTTTCTGTTTCCCTCCTGAGTAAAACACGGTCCTCTGTATGCCCACGTGAGTGGACTAAAACGACAATGGCTGCTAGCCCTAACGTGTTTACTTACACTGTTCCTGGAATGCCTCCAAGTGAGTCACGTCACTTAGGAAACTCCATGCGCTAATAGTGAGGCGTGAGATCCCGGGAAATGAAACTGGTCCACAGGCACACAGCCCGTCAGAGAGGAGCTCGGTTCGTGGCCCAGAAGCGTGGCCTCCGCGGCTGCTGCAGCTCCCCGTAAGTCTCACGGAAACAGAAGACCACAGCCTCGAACACAGACCCGCTTAAACAGGGCTGAAAGAAAGAAGATGCCAGCATGAAATTCAGCGATGCTGTCTAAGAAAACTGTAAAAATAAAGAGCAAGCCACAGCAGTTCTTGCCAATTAAGAAGCATCTGGTTTTCCTATCGCTTGTTGCAAATAGTATAGAAACGCATAGAAATGCAGGAAAACATAAATGTCTAAATTGTAACACTGAAAATGCATCACTCAAGGATTAAGGTATACATGCCACTCTGTGCCTGCGTGACGGTCACCTGAGAGGGGTCTCTGAGGCTAAGGGAGCCTGCTGTCATCCTCCGTGGATAGGGCATTCTTTTCACTATTTGGCTCTCCTGGTGAGCTGTCACTGAGTGTACACAATGTGAAGGGCGATAGGGTAGAAGCTCCTCCACGATGTGTCATGTGTGAGTCACGCAACCACTAAAGAGATGGCCCCTTATCTAGTTCCTTCACTATGTGCCAGACAGAGATGCGGAGAGGTATCACCAGGTGGTCTGTGCGGGGGGCGGGGCGGGGTGGCTGTGATTTGCACGGGGAGACAGAGGCTAGCAGCGAGGCAGAGGGAGGCAGCAGCAGCCCGAACCCGAGCCTTCGGTCTTGGCCCTGCTCCAACTTTCATTTTCATGAAGATAATAACTGAAACTTAAGCTCAGCTGAGACTCAGTCGAAGGAGGCGTGTCCGTCCTCCCTGTGTGACAGGTTGCTCAGGAACGTATAAAGCCAGCCAGACTCCAAGGCTCAGCGCGGCTGCAGACACCTGGCACCATGTGGCTGCTCGTGCCTCTGGCTTTCGCGGGAAAGATGCTGAGCGCTTTCAGGAAGCAGCTGGGCTCTCTATGGGGCAGCCTGCTGCCCCTGTGCCTCTGGCTCAGGGCAACGTTCGGCCTGGCAGGGAGTGACAGGGCACAGAGGCAACAGGACGGGAAGGGACCCGAGGGGACCAGACAGGAAGAGGAGGGGGCCAGCGGCGACCAACCCCTAACTCCCACCAGCGTCAACTATCACTTCACCCGCCAGTGCAACTACAAGTGTGGCTTCTGCTTCCACACCGCGAAAACGTCCTTCGTGCTGCCCCTCGAGGAAGCCAAGAGGGGGCTGCTGCTGCTGAAGGAAGCCGGTGAGTCCCGGTCCCGCGGAGGTCGGGGTGTCCAGGCGCGGTGGGGGGCAGGCTGAGCGTCTGGGGGGGCGGCGCGCACAGCCTGGAGAGCTCCCCCAGCACGTTCGGCGTTTCCCAGCGCGCAGTGGGGATGCTGAGCCGGGACAGACGCACGGGCAGTCTGGGAGTGGGTGCCCGGTGGCTGAGTGGGGCGCCCACCCCGCTCCTCCTGCCGCCTCCACTGGAACGGGATTGTGACCCCAAGCGTTTGTGAAGGGCGGTGGGGTGGGGTGGGGGACGACACTGTTCCAGAAACAGTTAAGGAGGAAAGTCGAAAACAAAAACACACACTTGGACTTAAGATGTGCAATACCGAGTCTCCCATTTTGGGTCATGCGTGTGCTCTTGACGTGGACCCTTAAACGGTTTATAACTCACATGAAGCGATGACCTTGCTCTCGAGACTCGCTGACCGGGCCGCAGCGCCCGAGGCCCGCACGGACGCCGCAGAAGGAGCTGGGCGCCTGCGACTGGCCGGCGGCGTCTTCCCCCCCGAATCTGCTCTCCCGCCGCTGCGCGTCCCTGTCTTCCCCGGAGCACCCCCTGAGCTGCCGCCCTCAGCCGCGTCCCCCGCTTTCTTTTCGCGGCTGGTTTAGCTTTTTCTCAGACGTGTGACGGGCGTTCACAGAGTGACCGCACGCCGAGGTCGGTCTGGGTTTCGGAACTCGACCGCATCCCAGGACGCAGAGCCAGGGCGAAGGCACCGCAGGCCGGGGGCGCGGGGTCCCCCGCAGCCACGCGGGCCCGAAGCTCGTCTTCTCACGCAGACGCGTTCGCCTGCCGGGCACCTCACGCAACGAAAGCGCGCGGCTGGCGCGTCGCTGGACCTGACCTGCTTTGCCCCCTCGCGTTTGCTCACCCGTCCACGCTGATCCCCGACGGACCCGCGCCCTGGGGTCTGGCGCACGGGGTCGCCGGGCCTCGCTCGGACAGACGGCTGTGTCCGTCTCCCCGTCTCTGCCGTGCTGGCGGGAGGTGCGTAATCTTGCTAAAATGCGCTTTTGGTAATTTGACTCCCCCACTTCAACTCTCTTGCACGGCTTCCAACCCCCACTTGTTAGCACGGCCTTCAAGGCCCGTGGCAAGCCCGGCGCTGCCATCGATGTCCCCGCCCCTGCCCCGGCGTCCGCACCCCAATGCCGCGCGCCCCTGGGCCACGGGCACATTGCACCACGCCTGGTTCCCCTCCGAGGCCGCACGACGGAGCCCGTGACCGCGCTGTCCCCTTCCTGGAGTGCGGTCGCCCATCTCAGACTCGTTGGAACGGCTCCCGCCTCTCTTCCCCACCGCCCCTCCCCCTTCGTCTATGACCGCACGTCTCCTAGTTAATCATGGCGTGTTTATCTCCATTCCCGCCAATCTCTCCTCCGCTCCACCAAAATTACAGAAAAAGGCTTGAAAGCAGGGGGACGACCCGGCAGCAGTCAACATGTGGCTGGCGTGACCGCCTGGGACTGCCTGGTGGCACGGGGCGGCTCCGGCAGGCGTCTGCGGGGCGATGGCTGCGTGAACTCGCCAGCCCGCCCTGTGGGAAGCAGGCAGTTTTGGGGACGGGAACCAGCGAGCACGTCCTGCAGAAGCGAGGCCGCGATGGAAAAGTAAGGCGTGAGGCAGGAGGCAGGCCGGTCTGGGGCTCTCCCGGCCACCGTCAGGCGAGGCCCCTCCCCGGCTCCTGCAGGTGGCAGAGGCTTGTTTGCTGCTCGAGCTGAACCCATAGGGCCGTGCACCCAGGGAGCCCTGGACAGGAGGGAGGAGGAAGGCACCACAGCGAAGACTGTGCCAGTCTGCCCGCTGGGCGTGCGAATCCCGTGAGCCCAAGGGACGGGCGGCTGGTGTACACGGCAGAGGAGAAGAGTTAAGAATCTTCTCCAGGAAAACAAAATGGCCCGGAGAAAAGGCCCGGACACCAGCATGCGGGACACTATCCAGCGACTAAACCGGCTGTCCGCACTGTCCCTGCCCGGAGAAAGCCACCAGCTGCCCGGTCCCTTCTGTAATCACAGAAATGCCATCCATCTCTTTTATGCCTCACTCGACTATGAAGGGACACATCAACACACCAAAGGAAAAGGCGGACACTAAAACAAACGAGAGAGAGGGAGGGTATGGAAAACCGAAAACTTCAAACCATCTGTAACTAAAAATCACGGACGGCCGAGAAAGAGGACGGTGCGTATGAAACCAGACGCATCCTGAACAAGGAAGCATTGGATCATGGGAGCGTTGTGAGAACTAAAAACTGGATTTCTAAAATTAAAGTTTTAATAGAAAGTCTAAGAGGTAAAGTCTTAGGAAAATTGGACAAAAGGTAAAACAGGAGAGACAATAGGAAGGCAAATAGGGTTTAAATCCAGAAGCTCCCACACGCCAGTATCAGAATTTCCCAGAAGAAAAAAGAAATAGATTTGAGAAGAGGTGGGACTTATATAAGAAAAATTCCCATAACAGAAAAAGCCATGTTTTGAGATCGAGGGCCTTGAATAGGGACAGATTCCACTCAAGCACGTCATCTTGAAATTTCAGGACATTACAAAGAAAGCTCCTATAAGAGAAAAATGCATACACTTAAAAAAGATGATTTATAAGAGAATTACCAAACTTATGAACAATAATATTAAATCCTAGAAGACAATGAGCAAGGCTCCAAAAATTCAGAGTGTGAAGCGATTTCACCCAGAACGAGGCCAAACTACTGACCACAAATCTATGTGAAAATCTTCAAGTCCTCAATTTGATTCATTTATGTTTTTGTTTTTGTTTTTGTTTCAGGAAACTCCTAAGATAATTTTCCAAAATAAGGGAGTAAACCGACAGAGAGGGTCAAGGATTCCAGGATAAGCGACGTCCCATGCATGAGAGAGAGCGGGGAGGGGACCCCAGGACAGTGCAGAATGGGTTTCAAGGGGCCGAGTGTCCTTTTCATTCTAGGTGGCAGGGGCGGCAGTGTTCACAATTCTCTGAGAAACCTCGTCTCTCATCTTCTAAGCAGTGGCATCATCTGTGTAACTAATTCCTTACGTTACAGTGCATCCATTTTAAAATAGGGAGAAAATCACCTTGAGGAGATGCTTTTGTCCTGGTGACACCCCAGATTCCATATGTGGGTATTCCCATAAAGGGGGGTTGGCGGGGCACCAGCGTCAGAGGAGGCGAGGATAATGAGAAGTTTTATTTCATGTCTGCTACATTGAGACGATATGACTTTTGCCATTAAAATAATAACGGATGTGTGTGCACTGTAGAAACAGAGGGGAAAAGGTCTCTGTCGCCCCTCCCAGGTATGGAGAAGATCAACTTTTCGGGCGGAGAACCTTTCCTTCACCAGCGAGGCGAATACCTGGGCCAGCTGGTGAAATTCTGCAAAGAGGAGCTTCGTCTGCCCAGCGTGAGCATCGTCAGCAACGGGAGCCTGGTCCGCGAGCGCTGGTTCAAGAACTACGGTAGGCTTCCCCGCGTGACACTTCGCCGTCCCGTTCCTGTGGTCGAAAGTAGCTCTGTCTCCTTCCATCCTGGGCCTCGGGCCAGGCCTGTGGGGCGCGGGCAGAGAGGAGAACCCAACAGGCTTATTCTAATCTTTTTTCAAGCTGTGCGCGAAGTTAATAGTGTTTCAGTTCTGGAAGGCTCTCGGTAAACAAGTGTGGCCAGACAGATAACGAAAACATCAGGAAGCATAACTCCTGCGAGTCTGCACAGAGCAAGTGCTGAGGGCGAGGCTTTAGCCCTGGCCTCACTGTTCGTTTGCTCTCAATGTTTATTTTTTTCTTTTGCTTAACACTTACACAGCTATTTATTTTTTATCAGCCTCATATAAAGTAAGCAAACGGACCACAGCAGCCCTTCTCCCTGCTTTTGGAATCCCTGGTTTCTGTCATTTGAGAGTGGTTTTGAGAATTGAGAACTGACTCTGAGAAGTGACTTTGCAGTCAAGGCTGCGTAGCCACGAGAACTAGGAAAACTCAGAGCCGGTCGCCTGCAAGGACTTGGCAATGAGCTACCAGGTGGCGACGAATGCCCATGCTGGGGGGACAGGTGGATCGTAGGGAGCAGAGGAAACCGAAGGAGCGAAGAGAAACGCAGAGGAGGCGACATTACAGACAGCCATGACATAGAGACCGAGACAGATCCTCCTCACCGGCGCTTTCTGATCACAGCCCGCAGTCTGCCGCGTTGCGAGGGGTGGGGGCGTGTGTGGGGGGCGGGGGTGGGGTGGGAGGTTCTGTGAGTTTGGTTCCACCAAACTCACATTATCTTGGCTTCCTCAGCATCTCGTACGGTTAGTTGCACACGACATATCGCAGGATGTCTGCACATATTTAGATGACGAGTCAAATTTATAAAAGATGTCAGTGTGCGTGGTAGGGTTCTTCGGCTGAGCGATTGTATTTTGTGATGGGAAAAGCAGTCAAGCTCTAAGTGCCCGTAGATCTAAAATAGCAGCCTGCCTGGGAAGTTACCTGACCCTTAGGCGGCAATTCAAGAAAAGCCTCATTTAGATATATTGATAAATGCTCTGTCTGGTATAAGTATCTCTGTGGTTTTTTTTTTTTTCAAGATTATTTTACACAAGTGCCAAGTATAATGTTCATTTCACTGAGTTTTGTGGGTATGAAGCAAAATGTTTTTTTTTTAAAAAACTAAAGCAAAAATTCAAGCGAGATGTGTTTTATCACAAGGAGATAGGAATGGCCGAAATGGCATGGTCCTTGGGACAAAGGCTTCACGATAAACATCTTCCCTCAGGCGCATATTTGGACATCCTCGCCATCTCCTGTGACAGCTTTGACGAGCAAGTCAACGTCCTTATTGGCCGTGGTCAAGGGAAAATAAACCACGTGGAGAACCTTCAGAAACTGAGGAAATGGTGTCGCGATTATAGAGTGGCCTTCAAAATCAACTCGGTCATTAATCGATTCAACGTGGGAGAGGACATGAAGGAGCCAATTAAAGCGCTGAACCCCGTCCGCTGGAAGGTAGGCTCACGGCGCTGCTTTCGCGGACTGTAATTAACCCGGAGGTAAGACCAAACAAAAGCGAGAGAAAGAATGGCTTCGGCGGAGTCCAAATGATAAGGGTCCAGAGAACTCTGAACCCAGAGAGCCAGCCGGGAGAACGGGTCTGTGGTCCTGCCCTTATCTGTTAAACTTTAAACTACTTCCAGTCCTTTGGCCTCAATTTTCTCTTCTGAAAACTGGAACTGATTCCCAATGGGAATATTGTGAGGATAAAGGCCAGAAAATATAATAAGTACTTGTGATGGTCTGAAGAATATGTCCGTAGAAAGCTTAACCTGTATTTATTTATGAAATACAATGAGACTGAATTTCTTCTTAAAACTGTTGGGTTAAGAATAAGTGGATATTCTTCGTAAATCCTGTGAATCCATTTCTCACTGAATTATTGAGGGCTGGCCCCAGCTGTCCGCTGCTGAGATGTCTGAAGTTCAAGGACGGGCGAGCCGGTTCAAGGTGTAGCACCCGCAGCGTGCAGACGCTTGCACGTAATTGCAAATTAAAGTTTCCTACCCCTGGCTGTTCTTCAGAATCAACTCAGATAGCCGTTTAAAAATCGCCTTCTTGGACCTCACTCCATACCCATCTTGCTGAAATAGGCCCCCTGGTGTGGGGGTTCGGAGGGGGGCAGACATTAGCAGGAGGGCTTGCACGAATATGTATTCTTGACAAGCTACCCTGGCGATTGTCACGTAGCCATCCAAAACCTGTGCCTGACCTCAGAGTGGATGAAACTGAGGATAAGACGCAGAACTTGATTCTAGTAATGAAAAAAGGCCAGGAGACTCATGCAGGGCAAGGCTGTGTGTGTTAGCACGACATGGGGAGGCGAGTCAGGCGCTCGGTTCTGCCGCAGTGCCTGGAAGGCTTCCACGTAGGAGTGGTATCTGGCTGTGCTCTGAACGAGAGGCCGGGTTTCCACAGGTGGGTCAGGTGTGGGGAAGGCAGTCACGTCCGGGCGGGAAAGCTCGCTGCACAGAGAAACCTTTTCCTTCCAAGGCTGCCTGGAGTGCGTTTTAATCCCCTGGGCGCGTTCGGGACAGAGTGACGGATATGGGGGGAAAGGGTTATTATTATATTATGTCCCTGAGGTCACTCTGCAATGTGTGGAATGGGTCAGGAAAATAGAAGTTATACTTTTGAAAAATTTTAAATTGGTAGGTGGAACCTGAACTTTGGTTACATATCAAAACGCGTGGAATATCAGCCTAGACGATCTATGATCTAGATCCTATGAGGGTCTAGAAAAAATGAATAAATAAATAAAATAATACAGAGGGATGATGGGAGGAGGAGAAGCTGTGATCCAACAGTCTCTCTCTCTCTCTCTCTCTTTCTCTCTCTCTCTCATCTCCATCTCCATCTCCATCTCCATCTCCATCTCAATCTCCATCATCTCCATCTCCATCTCCATCTCCATCTCCATCAAGGCTTTTGAGAGCTCATGGCTCCTTGTCTCTCATTCTCCATTGAATGACTTTTGCCCCAATCTTTCAACTTCTGCTCAGGCTTCCACTTGCCTCCTGAACTCTGGACCTGCCTTTTCAAAATTCTGATTTTGATTACAAGTGATTTGCTTATTTATTTATTTATTTATTTTGATACTTTTGTATGGCCCGTATTAGCTTCAGTGAATATCCGTTATTTTGTAGTCTAAAAAATTAGATTATAAGACTAGATCAAATAGAATCTTGGCCGGTTTTTACAGTTTCCGTTTTAGAAATGTTTGTGCCTTCTAAATTTCACAGCAGTGTCTTTCTGGAATGTTCCTTAGTCAAGGAGTCTTCTTTCTTAGGAGATGCAGCCGGGTCCGGGGGGAAATGAGGCTTGGGGTTAAAAAAAAAAAAAAGGATGCGAAGAAAACAGCGCACTTGCTTTCCAGGTCTTCCAGTGCCTCATAATCGAGGGCGAGAATGCTGGAGAAGGCGCCCTGAGGGAAGCAGAGAGGTTCGTCATTAGCGACGAGGAGTTCAAAGCGTTTCTGGACCGCCACAGAGAGGTGTCCTGCCTGGTCCCCGAGTCCAACCAGAAGGTGGGCATGGCGAGCGCTGTCCATCCGCCCTGGCACCATCCCCTGGTCCTGCTGCGGGTGCTCAGGGGCGCGCCGTGGGGAGATGTGGGGGGTGGCCTCAGGGCTGGGGTCCGCTGTCGGCCCTGCGCCCTCCAGCTGTGACCGGCGGGTAACGGGGTAACGTGGTGCCGTGGACGTGGAGACGAGCGCGGATCTCTCATCACCTAACATGTACACTGAGAAAGGGGAGGGATTGAGTGCCAAGCGGACAGAGCCACCGGGAATACTGAACAATAAAGAACAGCCCCCCCCCACACACACACACAGCGACACTGGACCCTTTGTCAAGGGGCAGGGGATCTAGCCCCTGAGAATCTGTTGGACTCTGAAGGGACAAAACACCCTTCCGGGATGCGGGTCATGTGGGGACGGCCCACCTTGTGAGGCACACACCCAAAGGTGCTCAAGCTGATCCAGAAGGAACAACAAGAAAACACACGAGCACGCATGCCAAAAAGGACGCTCGAAACTGAATTTGTATTTCATGTCTCCTTTGCAGATGAAAGATTCCTACCTTATTCTGGACGAATACGTGAGTATGCTTAATGAATTTTTTAAATGATCACTTAAAAATAGTAAAGCGGCCGTGAGGTCAGCTGGAGCCACGTGATTCTGAGCGTAACCCTCTAGTCCGTATTTGTTCTTCTCGGCCGGCGTGTCACGTGTTGGGGGGCGCTGACAGGCGTTAGCTTTGTAGACTCCTGATGTCACTGGGTCAAGTTCTGAGCTAAGCGCCTGGGTGGGCATTAGCTGGAACCTGGGCCTCGTATTAGCGCTCCCTCCAGATGGCGCTTTCTCCTGTGTGGTTCACTTAACCCGGGGATGCCACACTGAAGCCGACATTGCACAGAGCAGGGGCCTTCGTTATGCCATCGTGGGCTACGGGGTCTCTGGCAACAGGACGCTTTGGAGGGAAGTCATTCATATCACACTTTACAGTACACGTTAATACCCCAGAGACTGCCAGCTCTCCCTCTGACTGTAACCTCGGCTTTGGTGAGAAGAGGTGACAGTCCCTCTCCAAAAGCCACTGACACTCTGCCTGCCCCACCGCCTTCTGAAGGAAGAGGAAAAGCCACCTCTCTGGACACTGAGCAGCACGTCGCTTTCCCTCCTTTGTCTCGTTGTCGTTGTTGTTGTTGTTTAGATTCACAGACCTTCACCGCTGTCTCGAGCACAGAACAAACAATTCCATTCAAAGCCCCGTTTTAAAGAAATGGACTCCAATGAGAGCCATGGCTTCAGTATTTAAGTTGGATTTGGTGTTTTGAGAAATGCTCGTTGTGGTTTTATATTATTTTCAAGTTCGTCAAAGATACTTCACAGCCACTTCATCGTGGCCGATGTGAGCTTTCTTTATGGGTCATAAGGAAAAAGGGGATAGGACAAGGTTTCAGTTTGTGGAATCGAGGTACAGAGGTAAATGCAAACAGAATTTACTTTTCAGAATCCAGGTTTTCACAACTGGACATTTTGACTGATGTTCCTTAACGAACTGTGGTCTCCACACGGTTGGAACAGACATCAAAATTTGCTGTTGGCAATTTAAGAACATTTCGATTCCACAAACGTTGCTGGAGCATCTACAGAATGCTCAGTGCCGACGGAAGGTTATGGAAGCGTGCAGGCCTCGTGCCTGCGGATACGGCGGATGGCCGAGGGTAAAAACACAACCCTCGACTGCGCTTATAAGTCTCTCCTCGAGCTGGCGCCTCGGCCTCTGCAGCTCCTTCCTTACCCTCCTCTCTGCCCTTCTCTAAAGAACTTTTTGGTCGACCTTTACACTCATAGATTCATGCACACACGGGTCACTTTCCAACAGCGTCACCTAGACACACCGACTGTTCCTTGCTTCTGGGTTTTAATGATTCTGTTCCCTGCAGCTTGCGATTCCAGAGCATCATTTAGAGGTCCACATTTTTTGAAAGCCTGTCCTGATTACCACTGTCCCCCCAATAGAGGGACACACACCTCCCGTGGCACACCCACGATTCTGTTTATTGCACACTTAGCTGATGTACCGTGTTTATCTCGGTCAGCCTGAGCGGGGGGAGTCGAGAGATGGAGTCCGAGGAGTTCTGCATGCTCGGTACAACATCCGGCCCACAGCTCTCAATAAACACTTGTCGAAATGATCGGAATAGCAACAGTCATTTTGGATTAAGCCTCCCCAATTGAGTTTTACAGGATAACTTATACAAAAATATCCCAATTTCTGAATTTTCTAGATGCGCTTCCTAAACTGTAGGAACGGGCGGAAGGACCCCTCCAAGTCCATCCTGGACATCGGAGTGGAAGAAGCCATAAAATTCAGTGGATTCGATGAAAAGATGTTTCTGAAGCGAGGGGGAAAGTATGTGTGGAGCAAGGCGGACCTGAAGCTGGACTGGTGAGGTTGGCGGTGGGCCTCCCCGCGGACTCAGCGTGTGGCCGCCACCAGCTGTGACGCCTCCTGCCGGCACCCTCAGCGGCCCCAGATAGGATTTTCTGTTGCACATGGTATCTGATTATCTGTGGGGACACACAGATGATCGAAATCCATAACAATGCAAAACCATTAACTTTAGTTAATCAGCCTATTTTGATATTGGTTTTTTTGAGCTGTTTATTGTGACTCCTGTTATTTCCATTTTGAAGTTATGTTTTTCCAGTTTGTTCATTGGATAGTCAATTCTTTTCTGCTAAATAATGAGGTATCGATTTTCACATCTGAAAAAAGGCTGCAAAATGTCTCTCCCGCTCATTTCTGCTGCGGTAATGCTCTGTCCCTTTCCGCCTTTATTCCATTGCAATCCTGGCCCTTCCACCAGGAAAGTCAGAAGTTCAGAAATAGTCGACAGGTGTTTCAAAAGATAAGACATGATCATCTTAGCAGGCTCCCGCAGGTGCCCAGGAGGAGACGGTCAGCCGCTGATGCCAGGGCACGGCCCGCCCACGCTGACTGCCCCAGAGGGTCAGCTCTCCCTGTTTGCTCCCTCCTCTCCCAAGATGCTTAGCAAAACTAAGACAGACCTTTCGTTTCATGATGATGTCGACAAGGGGTCAGTGCTTGGGTCGCTGTGTGAAGCTGCTATTCAAGTCACATGAGTCCATCAAGCAGCAGCATGTGACTTGATTCGAGTAGATGGGGGTCCCCATTATCTCTGGACCGACTCTCTGAGCAGCCTTTAGGCACCACAGTGGCGAGAGTGGAGGTTGCGCCTGGATTTGATGTACGTGAAGCCGCGGCATAATCTCGTTTTCCCCAATTAGCTCTGATTCTCTTGAAATAAGGTATAATCTGGGTTAGAATGACAAGATCCAGTGGTTTCTTTTCCAGCACTAAGGAAGTACTGAGGGGGAGGAAAATTGTCACTTAAACTGGGTCAAGGATCAGAATCTTCTCCTTGTGGATACATCACATGCAGTTTCTTTATGTAACCTAGATGTTGTCTTATTGCCTGGAAAATAATAATTTCCTGCCATTGTTTTAAAAAAGCCAAAGCATGGAAAAATTTTTGCCCAAGCGAAAAAAAAGAGTAATTTTAATTCAACTGCCATCCCACCGTCCATCACTAGGTGGCGTCTAAATGTTGCCTGATGTCATTAAAACACCATCCAGAAATTCTACTTTATAATTGACTGTTTTCAAGACTTGGTGATTTTGAAAGTTTTGTTTTTGTAATTTTTTTCTCCAAAATATAGTCCAATTTCAAATTTCAAGTCATTATAATTCAACCAAAATATGTCGTTGTCCCATTGAGTTGTCATGTATTTTCCATTTTATACAGATTTTTTTTTAAAGAGAAAAATGAATTAGGAAGGTTTTTTCCCTTTACAGATTTTGATAGTATCTAGTCTTTGATGGTGTTAATGTCATCGGTATAAACATAAAACATATTTCTGACTTAACATAGTATATTTTGCTGATCTTCACATCAGTCAAAAAGAGTAAGTTTAAAAAGAAACATTATATACGTGAGAACACCACGAAGCTGTCTGATGCCCAGCAAGTGCTCAGCTGGGATTGTTTGAAGCAAAACCTGGGTCTGAGCCCAGATTTTCTGAGTTAGGGTGAGTTTGTCTCAAGATGAGGCAAACAAAAAAAGCTGCACTTAAGAAATAAACTACAGTATTTTAAATACATTTTCTAGCTCGTTTGATATTATCCTCTCCTTTCGTTATGTGCTATCGGGATTTGCGAAGCCTTAATGTTTAAGATATTTAAATGTTTGTTTTTCTTAAAGGGAAGGAACACAAACTTTTAGCATTGCAGGAAAATTCAAATTTGGATTATACAATGTTTTGCTTGATTTTTTCAGTTTTAAATGTGAGCCTTCAGTTTTATTAAATATGTTCCTTTTTATGGGGAAAACAAAAGACAATTTCATTGGGGTATCTCGATTTATGTGTGTGAAGGACAAATATTTTGTGGCACCTTTAATTATTGCTTGTCTATACTGTAGTAATGTGAGTGGAAGTTTGTCTTAAGAAACCTAGATTCAGCAGACATTAGTAATAGCATACCGTTTTAAAAATGTTAATTTTCTCCGTTACTTAGTGATAAGTGATATGAAAGTTGCCTGTTTTCTTCGAAAAGTGAAGACGAATGAGGACGTACACCTGAATCACCTGCATTGTAGGCTCCTGTTCTATTTCTGTCTGGAGTTTGGAATCCGGTTGGTGGGTCCATGGAGAGAATCGCGATGCTAACATGAGTGAACAAAGTCACGAGAGGGCTCTATCGGGAGATGATGCATCGCGTAGGCTGCTCCCTTGCTGAAATCACTGTTTAACCAGCTGTGCTTAGAGGGAGACAAATCTCACTGTAAGGTTTTCGGGCTTCGTCTTGAGTGTGTATAGGAGGTCTGAGTTTTTAGGGAAGTATATGTATATATTTTTTCTCCATCGTGTGAGGCTCTCGAATGTCGGTCTGTTGTGTTGTAAGATATTGTAATATATTAAAATATATTTTGTACACTGCCTTCGCTCTCTGTGGGTCATTGTGAATGTTTAAAGTAAGTGCGTGCTTTACAAACTGCTGTTGCTAAAGGCAAGCGCACTCTCAAAATCCACAAGGTTATCAATAATTAATAAGCGCACCAGACAACCCACTCGGCAATAAGACGGAGCGGAGATGAGCCGCTGGGGAAAATATTCTTGTTTTCTAGAATGAAAGGCTCACAGCATTGCCGAGTGTGACTCGGTCAGCACTCCCAGCGGCAGGCGTCACTGAGTCCCAAGGAGATGTAGCCGTCTCCCCCAGCACCCCGATTTCTAGCTGACATTGCCTCAGGTGCATCTGGCTGGCCTGCATCCGTCCGTTCCATTAGCATATGAGCAGCCACGGCTGCCCCATCACCTGCTGTCCCTCCTGTCCCCTTCTCAGCTCTCTGAGCCAAGGGACCCACGTTCTTGGCCCCAGTGTTCGCCTCATGTGGGCTCCGGCTGGCCCTCCTTGGACGTGCAGCGTTCTCTGACATGCCCCTGCACTTGACCTCAGGCTGCACTTGACCTCAGGCTGCAAGCACACACTTGTATCCAGGAAGGATGCGGTCTCACTACTGTCCCCATCCTGATGTGCGCCAGCCCCCGGGACACGGTCAGATCCAGCGGCTCGATGACGATGAAAGCGACTCCACGGGCAGCGGGCGTTCCCTGTCATCGCAGCTGGGCCACTGTCAGCCACATTTGGGGTGTGTGAGCCCCTGAGGATGCCCGCCTGCCTGCCAGGAAAAAGACGAGAAAGTCCCACAGGAAACCCGCACAGCAAGTCCCACTCAGAGGCCGTTACATGCGCCAGAAAGGCCAGAAAGGTCTCAGCCTGTGTTCACGATCCTAAAAATAATACACATTTGGAGCATGGTTGAAAAACAGTAGAACAAAGTGGTTAAAACAAAAATTAACCATAACCAAGTCACCGGAGGTAACTACTAATCTACTTCCTATCTTTTCAGCCATGCATATTTTATTTTACTTATTTTATTTTTTATTATTTATGATTAATTATTATTCAGCCGTGCATATTTTAATAACACTGAGTTCACACTCGATTTGATTTTCCACGTAGTACCTTCCGAAGGTTTTTAGAGCCAGTCAGGGTCCTCACACTTCGATGAGAACAGCCTCTAATCGGGGAGAACGGACTGGACGGAGCTGCAGAGACAAACACACCCTAAAATGTCAATAGCTTGACACGTGTGAGTTTGCATCTTCCTGGGAAGTGTCCTGCCGAGAGGCAGCCGGAGGTACAGGCTGATTTTATTTTGTGGTCCATCTCAGAGGGTGGCTGTCGGTCGCTGTGATGGGGATGGGCAGGGTAAGAGGCTGTGAGGGTCTCTCCCTGCTTTGGCCCGGTGGTGACGCCCACCCCCGTCCCCCATGGTCTGTGTGCACATAGATCTTTAGTGAGCGTTAAATGTCTGGCCACGATTAAGTCCCCCTGACGCTGACTGCCACCTAATCATTCCTTTGGACTCAGAAATCCTTTTACATCCCGTCGCTCCGCTAGGGCCATATTCTATCGATTACGGTAGAGAAGCTGTGCGATTAAATGTGAAAAAGAACCGAATCGGCCAAGAACCTGGAGTAACAGCACCGTTTACGCCACTAGCTAGCAGTGACCTTGGAGCCACCAAGGCCAAACACTTCGAATCTAGTGTTTCCGTATGTGAAATGACAGGATTAGACTAAATTTTTTCTCTGGTCTAACTGTCTCCTCAGCCATATGGAAGCACCAGGCAGCAGAGAGTTCTAGAAAACAAGTCGCTTAGTCATTCGGTGACTATTTAGCAAGCGTCCAGAACTTGTCCTTCCTGTGCTGGATATGGTGACGATCGGGACAGGAAATGGCTCTACTTGCTGGGGGGATGCCAGGAAAAAGACTCTTCCTTTTTATTAACGTAGTCACCTTCTTGTTTTTTGTCATTTATTTTACCACCTTTGTATGGCACTTTATTATTACGACGACGCTTCCTTTTTAAATCGCAGTCACACGTGGGCTCCACGGGTGCGTGTATGAGTTTGCTAAGGGCACTGAGCGTCTTCAATGACAGGAACTTATTGTCTCACCGTCCGGGGGCTGGAAATCCAAGGTCCAGTGTCCCCAGGGTTGGCTTCTTCTGAGGCCCCGGGGGGTCTGCTCCGGACCTCCTCTTAGCATCTGGTGCTTTGCTGGCCACGTCTGGGCATCACGGTTTTGTGGGAACAACGCTGACCTCTGCCTTCGTGTTTACATCGTGACCCCGCGTGTGTGTCTGTCTTCAAATTGACCCTTTTTATAAGGACGCCAATCATACTGGCTGAGGGCTCGCCCTGCTCTACCCCAGTGTGTCCTCGCCCCAACTCATTGCATCTGCAAAGACTATTTCCATATAAGGTCACATCACAAGGTCGTGGGGCTTAGAAGTCACTATAGGAATTGCGGAACACAGTTCAATCCATGCTAAATACACGCAGGGAGAATTTCCTTCTTCACCGGGACTTTGTTTCTTGAAGTTTCGTTTTTCTGACGCAAGCCCTTATTCTTTGTTGGTTTGAGCGCACACACATTATCGTGATAGTTATGTGGATCCTTTTTTTGCATCTTCTTTTCAGGCGTTCTAGGAAAATCACTCCAGCGTGCAGTTTTTTTCTAGCTCTAGGGGTGTTTGCGGAGCAGAAGGCAGAGCTGCCTGAAGACACCCTCCCTGTGTCCTGTCTGATGTGGATGCCTCACCTGAAGAAGAGGTTACTGGGGACATCCAGGCTGGGAAAGACAGAGGAGAGGCCCTTGAGGGGAGGGGAGCAGAGGTGTGGACGGGGAAGCTCTCCCAAGGGGCCCGAGAACATAGGGACATGGCGGTGCCTAGAGAAGTGGGGGCCTGTTGGGCCTCCAGGGCTCCCCTGGGGAGCTGTGCGCTTGGTAGAGAAGCTGTACACGGCCCGCTTGAAAATGGACCACGTGGCATGGAAAAGGACACTGTCAGTGGACGCTGTGGCGACAGGCTGAGGACGACTGGTCACCCCCCTCCGGCCCCCGCCCAGCACCATGAAATCTCCCGGATCCCTGTGTGTCCCAAGGGAGAGAGAGTCAGAGCAACAAGTGACTCTTTGTTAATTGCTGCTCTCTTGAAATATGGAATTGAATTTAAGTTGATTTTAAAAATTCAATGTGAATTCGACGTCCTTACAGAATGTGTGATTCCAAATTCATACGAACCCCACTGTCTAAAAAAGTCTCTATTTTAAGCTGCGAGTATGACTCTCGAGCCTCCCTCCATTGGTGTCCAGAGGAGACACTCGGGGTGGCTCCCCGTTTCTCCAGCCTCTGCACTGCTGAAGGCAGCGCTAATTCCCGGGCCTGTTGACCCTTTGTGCCTGCAGCGGCCATCACAAAGACACTCGCTCCACGAGTGCGTGATGACTCACGAACACTGAGGAACATGGGCTGTCTTTTCGAATGGGCCTGACACGAGCAGCCTCTGGGGAGATGGGTCAAAGTCACGACCTGTGCAGGGAGGTGGACGGGAAACCAAGCAGTGACGAGTGGACTGACCTTGAGAGACACAGGCTGCTCCTTGTTGGAGAGAATCAAGTCAGCTGCTCAGAAACAGAGCTCAGAGTGGATGATGTCACTGTTTATTGAGCTCTTAGTATGCTCAAGGCCCTATCAGAGATGCACAGAAAAATGACTTCACTATCCTACTGAATCTTCAGATTTAAGAATCGGAGAGTAAATGACCAAAACATGAAGTGCCGTTGATGATCGACATAGAAACCAGCTAAATATTACCCAAGCACAGAGATCTGGGGATGGGGAAAGTGGTGATGGATTGGGAAAACCTCACAGAGAAAAAATGCACTTCAGATGCGTTTTACGGCTTGTGCTAAATCGTCTTACCCACGATGATGCCTTCTTTTCCCATCTTCCCAACATCCACAGTAACAAAGACACATAAACAAACATGGGGTGAAGTCACACATCGCTGCATAAGCCCGAGGCTCAGCTATGAAGTCGGGTAAGAGGTTGCTTTGCACCCCAGCCCCCCTCTGCAAGCCCCAAACGTCCTTCCCGCTTGATTTCTCTGCCCCTCTTTACTACAGAAATGTCTGCGTCTCAGTGTGAGCCGGCTCATCGCGGAATGCAGCCACCTGCCCGCTCATTCATTCGTTCATTCACCAGCGGTGCCACAGCTCAATCATTCATTCACCAGCGGTGCCACAGCAGTTTCGTCCTGGCACCTCGATCAGCGTAAAGGGGCTCTGGCCTCATGCAGAGCTTCTCTCACCTAGTGAGAGGAGGAAGTAGCCAAGTGTCCTTAGGGTTCGTCCCAGAGTACCTTGCTCTTGAGTGACATTTCTACAAGGTAGTGCATTAGAAAGCAAGTGCTCCTTCATGTCTTGGAGGAAGGGAAATATTTACTAGAATAACTTTTCAACGTAGGTAAGACAGTTTCGTGGTTTTTTTTTTTTTAAGGTGTGCGTGTAGCAGAGGAAGACATTGCGCAGTATTACCATAGAGGAGAACCTTGTGGTTTAATCGTTTGGGGGGAGATGACAGCTGAGAACTACTGAGTTCTTACAGTTCGTCAGTTATGCTGACATTGTGTTATACACCTTTGACTTATTCAATCCCTTCCAAGATCTCTGTGACACACACACTATTACTACCTGCATTTTCCAGTTTAAAAAAATTGAAGCGTGAAGAAGTAGCCTGCTTAATGTCACAGGCTGGCGGGTGAAGATGGCATTAGAATTCGGAGCAGCCGCTGGGGAGGGTATAGCGTTAAGGAAGGAAGACGCTATGGTGTGTTTCCGTGTAATTCTGGAGAAAAGGGACTGCGCGTTGGAGCAGACACCCTTTCACACACAGTGTTTTGCTCTGTTACGAGTTCCTGACAGGTAACTTACCAGCTGTGTAACTTCTGTCTACTAAATCTTACAGAAATTCTGCCTTCAAAGACTTTCCAGTCTCACAAACTGGAACCCGAAGAACAGGAATT